GGGAGATAGCTCAGCAGTGTAAGTGCCTGCCTGGAAAACTCAAGATCCTGAGTTTGATCTCTGGTACCAAAAACTAAACTAAACTAACTAAATGAAAAATAAATAAATAAATGAATGAATGAAGTGTGGCCCCATCTCGATCTAGAGAAGGTTATCCTGTTCTCTTTCCTTTTCAACACTTTGTCAGTGAAATTACATTGCTCTTCCCATATTCATGTTGGTTAGTTTCTTTCCCAGTAAACCGCAAGAAGCCCCAAGCATTCCAAGGGACCAGCTACACCCCTGCTGACTCCTCAAGAGGAAGCCAGCGGTCGTCCCCCCAGGGACTCACCTCATAGGTGACAGTGCACTCCACAGTCTGGGTTTTTGCTATTCCTACAATCCACTTCTCCATTACAAATGGCGGCTGAAAAAGAAAAGCTAGGAGGTATAATACCACAATACGGCCAGCCCTGCTGCGATGCGCTCCTTGGACTCCAGCTGTGCCCTCCTCAGGTGGCAAATACGAGCATCACGCCGGATTATCGTGCAAGTGATGCTGGCTTTCAAGGTGCTCATGCTTTGGGCCTTCTTTCTCACTAATACAGCTTTTCACCCAACTGTAAACAGCTGATCCTGGTCTCTCACAATCCTCTCTTTTGTCATATAACATTTTCTATAGCTTGGTCCTAATTACATGGTTAATTCATGCTAAAATGTTTAAAGCATCAACAGACAAACTTCCACAAAATTGAGAGAAAGCCACAACAATAGCAGAAGACCCAAGCTTGTGCTCCTTAGTGCAAGCAGAGGCTGGTGCAGTGGTTTCCACAGTCACTCAGCTCTCCACTCCCCAGGCCGTCCCACAATACCACAGGCACAAAGTGAAGCCACAGTGGCAATATTTTCCACTGCCTTAAAACAAACGATTAGAAAAGAGGCCTGTGCCTTGGAGCCTACGTTTACTCTGATGAAACGAATCCCTATTAGAAGTGAGCTGCACTCTCCTCTCCTCTTGCTCTCTCTAGTTTAATGCTGCAGAAGAATGACTGCCTGCAAGCTGAGTATGGAAAAAGGAACAGATGTAAAAAGGGCTTCTTTTGTTTCAAGTTAGGACTGCCATTGTCCCTTTTGGTGTTAAAAAGTTCGGTCCAAGGGCCAGGGAGATAGCTCGGCGGTCTAAGCGCCTGCTTGGCAAGCACAAGGGTTGGGTTTGATCCCTGGCACCACATGCTGTGCAGGCCCTGCACCTGCTGGCTGCTGCACAGTGAGACTCTGTACTAAATAAGTAAATAAATAAGTCCTATTCATTCTGAATGGTCTATGCCATCTTAGTTTTCCAGCAGCCCTGTTAATATTGCTGTGCTGGGCCAGTGAGATAGCTCCGTGGACTAAGTGCCTGCTTTGGCAAGCTCAGGGACCAGGGATCATCCCCAGTCCCACATGCCACACTGGCTCCACCCGTGGGACACGCTGAGCTGGCCCCCGAGTCCGGGCGTCATGGCGCACACCTGTAATCCCAGTGCTAGAGAGGCTGAAAACAGGAGGATCACTGAGTCCAATCTGTGTAGTGAGACCCTGTACCAAATACATAAATGAAAATAATAATAATAACAGCGATAATGATAATAAAATATTGCTGTGTGATTCTGCTCACGGGGTATAGCAGAAACACAGACACAGATACTCCATTTTATAATTCCATTGTACTACTGTTTCTATGAGCAACTAACTTCTGTTCATACTCAGAGCTTTGGATCTTATTCCTAAAGGATGCTGAAGCAAGGAATAACTGTCACAGCCAGTGAAGCTGTGGGTGGGAGGAAGCTGGAAGTACTGTAACAGGGACTTAGGGGCTAGGCTGGCGGATGTCTATGGCACCTCTGCCTTCTCTTATGATGTCTTCTGTATTACTTTTTAAAAAAATATATTCAGTACAGAGTCTACAGGGTCTCACTACATAGATCAGAATCGTAGTGATTCTGCTGTTTTCACCCTCCCAAGCTCTGGGATTATAGGCACATGCCACCACACCCAGTCTCATTCACCGGCTTAGAGCACCTAGGTGGTGCCAGGGATCAAATCCTGGTCACTGTGCTCTGCCTAACCAGGCGCTTCGGTCCGCTGAGCTGTCTGACTGGCCCATCCTTTATTACTTTAAAGCTTTGGGTCAGATCCCTGCTCAGTTCTGCACATAGGCATGTGAATCCCTCAGGGAGTGTCTGTGTGACAAGGTTTGCTATCCCTAAATTCAATTATCTATCTCATTTCCCTTCACAACTATGGACAACGAGGTAAGAGTAACTAAAGTAAGTTTTTGGGTTTTTAGGGACATCTAATTGCTGGCTTTTACAATGTCTAGTTCCAGGCCTCCTGGAAAGATGTCTAGAAGTCCCACTGTCCTAAACCTCTAACCGCTTTTGCTTCCAGGAAAAGCACAGCCTCAAAGATTATCCCATGAACAGTTCACCTTAGTCAGGAGCAAATATCCCAAGATGGGAACTAGGCTTGCTCCCCCGAAGCAGAGCCCAGTCACCTTGTGATGGGAGCCAAATTACCCCCTCAAGCAATGGATGCTGCCTCCCCAAGACCTTGAAAGCAGTCCTAAAACACTGATCAGCCATAATGAACTGACCAGGATTACCTGTGCTGCCAGCTACATCAATCCCACCCCCCACCTATATAAACTCCTGGTACCTGCCTTTGTTCTCCTTTCCTATAAAACCCCAAAGCTTTGGTCAGACTCTTGAAGAGAGATCTCCAAGGCCTTTATTGTGTGCTCTGCATGGCCGTTGTTGATGAAAGCTTCTTCCCTGTTCTTCACCACTGCTCATGTCCTTGAGTGTGTTATGGAAGGGGTGGCTGGGCCCAGTCTGTTGGGACCTCTTATAAGGTCTTTCGCCTCCAGTCTCCAGCAACAGTATCTATACTTTTTTTTTTTTTTTTTTTTTTTTTTTTAGTGTATTTAGTACAGGGTCTACAGAGTCTCACTACACAGATTGGACTCATAGTGATCTTCCTGTTTTCAGCTTCCCAAGTGCTGGGATTAGAGGTGTGTGCCATCACGCCCAGTCTCAGTCGATGTCTCAGTGCACCCTGGGGGTGGGGCCAGCATGGCACGCTGGGATCAAACCCTGGTCCCTGCACCTGCCTAAGCAGGCACTGCAGTTTGCTGAGCTATCTGGCTGACCCAGTACCTATACTTTCTAGGGTTCAAAACATCAAAACATAATATGCCCTGACAACTTCAGGAAAAGTACAAACCAAAGCAGGTTAAGCATTTCTGTAAGGCTTTCTCCAGTGTTTCCGAAAGCACATTCTTCCAGTGACCCTGGGATAGCAGTAAGACACTCTGACAACTCCAGAAATTCCCATGTGTGAGCCCCAGGAGCCATTAAAACTTCGACAAATTGCCCAGAGATAGCCTCAGCCCAGTCTTGCAGTGTAGTGAATTAACCCAAAGCACGTCTTCCTCTTCACAAGTTTTCCAGAGTCTCAAATGACTCAAATTTGAAGAAAATATTGTCATCAATAACATTTTCTTTCCTTTAATAAACGACAGGGTAAGCATAAAGAAATGTAGATGCAAGTATTATTAAAAAAGTTAAATGATTTTTTTTGCTTTGCTTTTTAGTTCATGCAGCCTAAGTGGAATTTTTAACAAAAACCTATTATCGTCTCAATATACTAAGTAAAATGTGCCTTTCACAGCCTGCTTGAGGCTGAGGGATGCGAACACCACAAGCACAAAAGCGCACTGCTGGGGCATTTTAATGGCTTTGTTTGATATCTGCAAATTCAAAAAACTTTTCAATTGTAAATAGAACCTTACCTTTGTCATCTTTAAAATCTCTGTATCAGGTAGGTTAGTGTTGAATGTCACATCTTTTATGTAGGTTATTGCAATATCATCCCCATCCATCTCCATATACATTTTCCACTTACAATCCTGGAATTAAAGGTGAAATTACAGGACTGAGAAAGGGAAATGAATTTTTTTTTTAGTCACCATGTTTTATAACACACAACGTATTCTAAATAAAGAATGGGGGGGGGCTTGTTTTTCAATAAGAGGACATGAAATTAGATCTCTTTGTAGATCTAAATAACCCCTAGTTATTGCAGCCTTGAGGCATAATTTAGCAATTCGGGAAGTTACAAACTCAGAATCCTATGGGGCCTGGTAGGTAATAAAGTGAGTAAAGCTAGGCAGTTCTTTATAGAGTCTCTGGTGTAGCCTTTCAAAATAGATCCACTCAATTCACATATCGAACACTGTAGTAACATCTTTCTTTTTGCCCTGAGGTGGTCTTCCCACTTTTTTTGCACCACACAGCCCCCTTGATCCACCTTTCATTTCCCCAAGAATGAGTATAAGATGCAGCTCACTTTGCTCTTACCAAGGAGGAAAACATACTCAGCCACTGTGCCAAGGAGTGGCAACACACCTGAGCAGTAGCAGGGA